TGTGTGTGTGTGTGTGTGTGTGTGTGTGTGTGTGTGTGTGTGTGTGTAATGTGTTACTTATGAACCCAGGGCCTAATCCATACTAGGCAAGCATTCCACTGAGCTGTGTCCTCAGATATTTTCAGTTTTTATTTAAACTTGTTTTGTTGCCTCAGTTAATAGTCACTAGTAATAACTCTAATAGGAGTTTTAAGGAAAGGGCTCTGTTTTACAGAGACTACTCATTTGTCTTCGTCAGAGGTATTTGTCTGGTGGGGTTGTTTTCTAGAGACAAGGTCTCGCTGCCCACCAGACTGGCCTTAAACTTGCAGCAGTCTTTCTGTGCTGGGTGCTGGTATTGTAGAAGCGAACTGCCATGTCCAGCTTGAAGTGTTATTTTGATACGTCTGTAAGAAAAATAGTTACTGGAGATTTACATCCTGTCTAATTTTCCCACTTTTTGGTGGAGTATATGATTTTTGAAGATTTGTCTTACTTAATCATTTGAGTGAGAGGAAATTTGGGTTTGTCCCATTTAGTTGGCTGCTGGGTAAACATGCAGGGCATGTTTACTGTGACCAGTTGGACAACTCCATTTGAAAAGCTGTATTGCTGTTATTTCTTATAACATTGTTTCCTGCTATTATAACTAAGCTGTCCTCCCTCAGGGCCACTTTCCTTCTCACCTGACATCTTAGAGCGGTGGAGCCAGTGTCTCCAACAGCACGTTTATGTAGCTGTTAGGACTCATTCCTGCTCCTCCTGGTTGTATGCTCTGTTCTACTTACTGTTAGTTCTGCTAAAGCAGTGGTTTTGTCATGGTGCCTATTGTATTATATGAAGTGGGTAAGTTGCCAGTAGCAGTTTTCTTGGCCTATGCCTATATGAGCTATTTAGTTTGTCTCCTGTATTCCCAAACCAGGGAAGAACTGACTAGCTCTTCCCACTTCCTAAATGCAAGAGCAGGGATTAGAGGACACTGAAGTGAAAAGCCTAAATGTCACCCTGAGGGTAACTTAATAGTGTCAGGAAGGGCCTTGAGACCACAGGCCCTGCTTATAGATCTTATTTTCCAAGCCTTTCATTATTTTATTTGCCCTTTTCTGAACTCTACAATTTCCCTCTCTTGTAGCTGGTTCGATGCCCAGACCTGAATGCTGTGCTCCAGCTGTGGCCTCACCGGTGCTGAATAGAGAGGAAGAGCCACCTTCATAGCTTACATGTGATTCCTCTGCTTATACAACCCAATACTGGATTTACTTACTTTGGCAAGATAGCTGCATTGTGCACTGTATTTAATGTTCCGTGTACTGTAACCCTGGGTCTTTCTCTGCATTGCTGCCGTCACACCCTCAATCCTGCCAATCTAAACCTCCTGCCTTTGTTTACCTGCCCTCTTCCCTTAGGCTCCCCATGCATTCATGCACAATGAATGCCGTCTTTTTATTCTCTGATTCCCTTTTACTTTTATCTTAAACTCTGGCAAGACTTTCACTCTGTCCTATAAATTTTCAGTGGTCAGCCAGCCCCCCTCCCCCTGCTTTGGTCATGGAACATCCCTCAAGCCTTTTCTCGGGTTCTTTCCGTTTGTAGCCCTGAAACCTAAGCATTTGGTATGGTGGATTGACTAAGCATTCATTCACCTGGCATTTCTGAATTGCAATGACTCTGGTTTGGCCCTTTGAAGTTGTTACCTTGCTTCGTTCTGTCTAGTTTCCTTGACTCTTTATGACGTCTGTCTTGGTGGATAGGATAGTCTTACAGCCCCTCCTCCAGGGAGATGAAAACGTGCTATCAACCTCAACGTACCAGAGAGATTTCTCACAGTAAGGAAGTTAGCAATTATCTTTTAATAGAATAGCCTTTATAGTCTTAGCGTTCTCCATTGGAGGTGAACTTGCATACATTTCTGAGGTGAGGGAGGTGAGGGAAGCACTGAAGCAAGGTCCCTCAGTGTCACGTGGACTGTGCTGTACCGAGCCAGCCGGTGGATCTTGGTGGATTTGGTAGCCGACTCAAATGGGAGCTGCAGCCTCATCGTTCCTGGACTCGGGAGCATCGTGTCTCTGATTTAGAGGAGGTTTTTAGTCGGTTTGTTTAGGATTGTTGATACAGCTGCCCAGTCTTTTAATGATATGCTTTGATAAGCATTTAGAGGCTAATATATTGTATAATCTTTTCTGTGGGTGGTAAGAATTGCAAGGTCTCCGTATGCCCTTTTTATCTATGTGTAAGCTCTCAAGTAAGTCCTAATGGGTCTAAGGGTAGCAGTTAAGCCGATGTTTGAGCCCCTCCCATCTTAGTGGATATGCCCTGTTTAAACAGACTGCCCTTGAATTTTTGGTATTTATTAGACCTACAAAGTACTGCTTACTGAAGGAGAGAAAGTTGGTTTGGAAATCTTTTTAATGCAATTTCAGTATATCAAGTTAGACATTACAAAACACCTGGTAGATGTCAGCACATTGTACTAATTTTAAACATGTGTTACAGGTGTATACTACAAATAAAAGGTGTTTATCGCTGTCAGAGATTGCTGGTTTCAGTAGTCACAGTTACATAACCAAAGAAAATTGTAAGCTCAATTTGGTGTCTTAGAAAAAAGTGTCTTTTCTCTGGTTCCTCCCCATGTATATTATAAAAAATTGGTGAATCTATTTTTGATGCGAATACATGTTTGCAAATATAGGAAGAAAATGTAGAGTTCCTGTGCCTTTGTCACTTCCTTGTAAGTATGGCACCCTTCGTGGAAGGGAATGTTAGTCTAGTTCCGTGGCTTCTGGGGTGACCCTCAGTGACCGAACTCAGTGGACTTTGCTGTTGTAGGGAGCCAGTGAGTGGTGAGAAGGGAAGGGAATGGCCTCCATCTCCATGTATGGTCTTAGGAGGGACATGGACAGGGCTGGGACTCTGTATTTACAGTCTTTGGCGGAGTCAAGACTGGTTGGGGTGTTCTTGGAGGCAGAAACTAGACTTTGTAAGATAAAAATAAATTGTCAGAGGCTGTTTTCGATTCAAATTCCGATCTCTGAGGAGGGCGAGGGTGCTGGGAAAGGGGGGTCTGTGCCAAGTCAATGATATTTGCAGCGCTTGTCTCTTTGCATTGGGAGATTTGACCATGACACACATTTTCCAGGTTTTTGTTTCTGGATTGTTTAAGAAAGTTTTGTCCTATGGGGTCAAAATTCTGTTACAGAAAGAAATAATGGTTTTTAAAGAGCTTATGCGAAGCCTTAGGTTTCTGTGAGGATCGTTTGAGGTGGTGGGAGAGATTCTTTGAAAGGCAGAGAGAGTGGGTAGATGCTCATTTAAAAGGCAGAGTGGGTAGATGCTCATCTAGGGGTCCAAGCTGCAGGCGGTGACTGTCTGAGGGAGCTCATGGTGGCTCAAGCTTTTATTATCCTTTCTGCCTATGTGGATTTCTGGCTTCAGGGAGCAGATTCTTCAAGAGTCTTTGAGGAAGTGTCGTGTATATTGTCAGCGCTTCACGGAGGTCCGTAAAGTTCAAGACTTGTTTTAGTTTGGTGAGAATAGGTCATAGATTGGCTGATGGAAGATAATCTCTTCTTTAGGAGAGTCTTAAAGTCTTGACAGTGCTTATGCATTAGGTTAGAGATAAACTAGTTTTAGCAGGTAAGTTAGAAAATATTTAGGAGCCACTAGGGAAAGGAGGTTTTGTCTAAGGGAAAGGGGGTTTCAGGCAAATTCTGACTAAGACTCCATGACAAAGAAGAGCTATTGGCAGGGGAGAGCAAGGCAGGCCGAGGCTGCACAGCCTGAGTGTGGCGGGTGTTTCAGTTGAGACTGAGTCCTTGGTGTCCTTCTGATGTCTCTGGTAAGATAGCACGAGGTGTACTATTAATTTCAGGAAGTGGACCAGTCTGAAATATATAGTAGAAATAAAGGCCATAGAAAAGGAAAGAGTTGAACAAGACAGAAGATCCTCCAGGTTCTGTTTAGGAGCTTGCATAATGCAGTTACTTGTGTGCAGTGACAGAGAAAGACATGGCCCCTTCGTCATCCTCTCCGAGAAGGACTGTCAGCCTGGTTTGTTGGTTTGTTTAGCTGACATTGTGAGTTGGTAGATTAGTAAAATATAGGTATTAATGTACTATTTCTTGGCCATTGTGTCTGAGACTAGGGACTTAGGACAGACATTATTGATTTGATTGCTGCTTCAGTTGTAGACCTTTTTACCACTATAGAGTGAGTTAGAAAGGAACAGACTCTGTAAGTGATTTGTTTTGTTAGCTACTTTGTCTAGACAGCTGTTTGCCCCTGTTCTTACCTAAGAGTAAGGAAGATGTTTTCCACTTGGGGAAATTCTTCTTTCTGTCCTCTTTCCCTCACGTTTTCCAAATTCTGGGCACCATAGCAGCTCTCTCTCCTGTGGCAGGTGTGCATCCTATTGGCTGGCTGGTATTTCTTTTTTTCCTCCCCCTTATCCTTTTTAAATGGGGGAGGGGGCATAAAATGTGTGTATTGGGTACATGCAATAATGTTGTAATGTTTCTTGTTGTTTTAATTGATAATTGCAAAATAATTGTTTGAATTATAACATGTTTGAGTAAATGCTAAATTAGTATTTTTCTAATATAATAATGAATTTGAAATAGCATTCCTGTAACAATGTGTCTGTGTTTGTCTGTCTGTGTCTGTCTGATAGTAATTAATATCTGTGGTCCGTATCTGGAGGAGGAAGTACAGCTTTAAAGGAATAACAAAAGACTTTGTGTCTTAGACCCTTCGCAGGTGTTACAGTCGGGTGAAAGAACATGGTGTTGGGAAAAGAAAGAGCAGTTACACATTTGAACAGTTGGAACAGGTGTTTGGTCAGGGAGGATGGGATGCTCGGCCCTGCCAGCCTGTACTTATTAACAGTAGTGGCTTGTACCAGGAGCTGGAGTCAGACGGCAGCACTCTGGAGGACTATTCACAGGAGGACTGGGGAAGCCACAGTCAGGATCTCCATGGCTATCCAACAGATCAGGAATTGGGTAAGAAAACAGTGCGTGTGCGTGTGTGTGTGTGTCTGTGTGTGTCTGTGTGTGTGTCTGTGTGTGTGTGTGTATATGTGTCTGTGTCTCTGTGTGTGTCTGTGTTTCTTGTCTGTGTCTCTTGTCTGTCTGTCTGTCTGTCTACCTGGTAGTGCAATGGTATCTACCATCTGTAGTGGCTTCTAGTGCTGTCAGCACAAGGCATATTGGCAAACTGTTTGAGTCAAAATGCACATCAAGTTACTTGGTAACTTGGGTACTGCTAAGTTCCCTGAAGATAGAAGACTTCCTAACCCGAGTCATACAGGAAGTTCACTGACAGAACCTTATGCCATTCAAAATTCCCCTGCTCTTTGTAGCACTAAGATTTCCTGCTAAGAGCACTGCCTCTCGGCCCACTTACTTTAAATCTACATTGAAGTGGTCCGACTAAGAGGCCGCATGTAGTTTTGTTTGCTTGTGTCACTGTATGTCAAGTGCTCCAGTTTTGACTCTTATTTGGGAACTGCCGATCAGGTTTTAGCTATAACCTGTGTACATCAGCAGCAGGTTGTGTAGTGAGTGTTAGTAAGAAATGCTCCTCCGCCTAGTGAGGTGCTCAGGTGACTCTGAGAAAGTACAGGTAGGGCTGGCAGTATAAATCTGTTTCCCTTGCTTAGGGAAAAAAAATGACAGAAATCCTGCCGATGACAGAGAAATAAAGAAAAAGAGTGAACTGTTGTTGTATTTTCTATTAATGCTGTTGTAATTTCTCTCAAATGTTGGAAGGGAAAAGGAAGGAGGCTCTCAAATTGTTAAGATTATTAGCCCTATGTAAAAGACTACGGAGATTTGGGGAATAAGAATGGATGCTAAATGAGCTTGTCTTTTAATCTCACAAGAATAATAAGGCCCGAACAACTGCAGCAGATGATAGCCCTGAGTGCTGTGGAGAGTTAAGTCTCCAGGCCTTGAGAAGCACAGAGCATGCTGATCCTCATATTTGGGGAATAATTACTTACCCTGTAAAACCTACACAGAAAACCCAAATAGAGCAGAATCATTTCCATTCTTGTTCTGTTAAAATCATGTTTGCAGTGAAATTAAGCTTTAAGCTCCTTGCTTGAAATCCACTGGTGACCTTGAAGGGTTTCATGCTTGTGGAGCCTGGTTTCTGATCTTGCATATGAATGTTCGCATCTCATTATGTATTGTTACGTTTTTAAATCTGGTGTGGGACAGTGTGAGACACCAGGATAGAGAATACAGAACAGGCAGTAAATAGAGCTGCTTACTCATAAATGTATACCACCACTTAGGAAGATATAATTTGTTTTAAAATTCTTTGTTTTTCAGATGAAATGCCAGTTTCAAAGAGAACGTTAAAAATAAAACAGGAGTCTTCTGAAGAGGCACAGTAAGTCGATGCTTCATTTTTTACCCAATGTGTCTAAGTTTGGTGACCTGGGAGGATCATGGGTACCTAGACACGATACAGGCCATGAGGGCATTTCTGCTCCTTCTTCAGTCTGCCACTGGGGACCTGGACTGCCGAATTTTCTATACAGGAAGAGGAGACAGTTGTTCCACGAAAGTGTGTGTTTCCCTGTGTAGTGTGCATTCCTCCATGCTTACTGAGAGACAAGATGAGCCCCTGGCACTTGCGTTTGAGTGGGGCTGGGTGAGATGGCCAGAGAGCCAAGGGATGTTTCAATTCTCTTACCACAGTTTGAGAAGCAGAAGGAAAGCTCTTGGGTGACCTACTTATGCATGTAGAAAACAGCTCCTGGAGGGCAGGCTGAGGAGGCTCAGGATAGAGCCTGTCACTGGCCCAACTGTGGTTCTCCCCCAAGAGTTCACACCATCTGTTAGATTCACAGTTCTTTTTAGTGGCTTTAAATGAGTTCCTTATCAATGCCATTAAAAAGACTAAAAAATAAAGTTCGGGGCTAAACGGAGAGTACCACTCATTTTTCTTCCTGGTAACATTGGATTCCTAGTACCCATGCCTTGTGTGACGCATTCCACATTTGTGATCTGGAAATTTGTTAGACGGAGGAAAAGACAAGCTGCAGATAGCTCATAACTGCACAGAAAGGCAAGTCCGCAGTTCAGCAAGCTACCACTGCAAACTTTTTTCTGCAGTGTGTCTTTAGAATGAAAGAATCCCCAGTGATGTTTGATTAATCCTCTGTCTGGGGAACATTCTGGTGAGTGAACATTCAGGAATATGAAAGTTTCCCCCAATCCTCATCAAAAGCACAATGTGACACAAATCAGTAAACCCAAAGCCATCTCTCATTAAGATCGTGACATCAAAGTAGAAAGGAAAGAAAACCTGTAGCTTAACTGTTCTCATTGTACATGCATGTGTGTGAGGGCACATGCTGGCTACAGTGCATTTATGAGGGGCAAAGGCTCTCTCACCTTTACATGGTGGCCAAGGGTTGAACTCAAGTCATCTGGCTTACGTAGCAAGGGCTCTACCCTTTGAGCCATTTCACTAGCCCTGGCAAATGATTTTTACAGTGAGCTACTATAAATCGATACTTTTAAATCTCTCACTCTCCAAAATGTCTTTGCTTTGTAACTAAAGTGTCCGATGTCTCCCAAATAGCTGCTTGGGGCCTTCAGGAGATAGTCATTTGTATATACTAGGTGTAGACCCATCACAGAGTGGCCTTAAACCCTGGAACTCTTTTGGCATTGGATCTTCAGAACCCAGGAACTGCCCAGGAAGTGGGCAGTTCTCAGGAACTACTCAAATAGTGCCCCAAGCTTCTGAAACACTGTCGTGCTGAGTCCAGTAGGACTCTGGTGTGCTCTTTCTCTGGTGCCAGCTCACTAAGGAGTGAGAGGATCTGAAGAGCTTCTAGTCGGCCATTTGCTCCTCAGTCTGGCACTTCTGAGATTCTCTGCAGTGTCTGACTTGCTCAGAAAATGAAGTATTGAGTAGAATACAGATATCTTTATGTGGGTAGTGGGTTGGGTTTTGTTTTGTTTTCTTCCTTCTCTTCCCCTCTCCCTCTCAGCATCTGTGTGGTTAGTTTACTGACTAATCCATGCTCTATGAAGATTATTCCCTAATCTCATTTTGTGAACTTTTGTTTTCTATGTGTCTGCTGTATGCGATGCATTAAAATATATCAGTGAGCAAGATGAACAAAAGTCTGTGCTCTCCTCTGTCTCCTAGTGTACTCCTCCTTGAGATTAATAAAACATGGAGCGATGTCTCCGTGGCTAAGAGCACCTGCTGTGAAAGCGTGCGGATGTGAGTTCAGATCCCAGTACTTCTGTCAAAAAGCTGACATGATCCGTTCACACCTGTAAAGCTAGTGCTGACAGAGAGGCAGCCAGGAGGGTCTTTGGGTTAGTGGCTGCCTACCTACTCAAAACATGCAAGCTCCAGGTTCAGTGAGACACACTGCCTCAAAAGAACACAGCTGAGAGTGGTACTGGAGGTCACTGGCTTGTGCACATGCGCATACACACAGATGTACATATACCAAGCACACATACACACATACAAAACTTTAAGAGAAGGAAGCTTTAAAGAAAGTGATGTTTATAAAACATTGTATTCCTTTGAACTCTTGCCCCACTCAGAAACACATCTGCCTCACAGAGAATCATAGTCGAGTATTGTGAGTAGCTCCACATTTCCTTAGCAGAGAAGTGGTTCCCAGGAATCTAGTGCTTCCCTGTAGGTGCCTACTTGAGTCAGACTCATGAGTGAAAGTTAGATCTAGGACACTCTTAACGTCCTAAGAAGCAGCTCTAACACAGTGTTAGCTCTTTGCATCTTGCACAGAGAGACCAGGGTAAGAAGAGGAAAGACAGTGACTTTATGAGGCCTCTCCAGACTGCTTTAAAGCAGAAGTCTGAAGGACCATCTTAGCAGAGGGCTGGAGAAAACACTCAGTGATTAAGAAAGTGCTTGGTGCTCTTGCAGAGGCCACACGTTGAGATCCCAGCCTTAGTGTCCAGAGACTCATGTCCGAGACCTCCAACAGGACTTGCGAACGCCGCCCCCTACTCATAAATCCTAACTAACAAAGACAAACAAAACCCCAGCATTCTTAGCAAATCTGCTTTTCCTGATTGTGAGTGAGCAAGTAAGCACCTTTGTAGTTAAACTTACATATAGTCAATTTTTAAAAAATGTAACAGCTTGATTTCCAAGTTAATATCTAATAAGCCAGTCTTACCATATCAAAGTTTGGCCATATTTGAGGAACAATTTCCTCCCCTCCCCTCCCTTCCCTTTTTCCCCCTTTTTCCCCTTTTTCTCTTTTTCTCTTTTCCCTTTTTCCTTTTTCCTTTCCCTTCCTCACTCTCTCCTGCCCCTCTCCCCTCTCTGAATAGCCCTAGTTGTCCCTTGCCTCAGCCTTGTAAGTGCTGGGCTTAAAGGGTGTACACCATCATTGCCAGCAAGAAACAACTTATAATTGTGTATATATAAATTACATGGAGTATCAGTCAATACATTATTTAAGTAGCCTGTGGAACAGGAATTCCATAGCATGTTCTATCTTAATCTGCTAATTATCCAAGTCATAATTGAAGCATTTCTAGAATATTACCTTTAATGTTCATTGGAGTGGCATATTGTTCCTGTATTAGATCCTTGGTCATAACCATGTACTTATTTTCCTCCAAAACATGTGTAAAAAATTACTAGCTCTCATAAATCCTGTGTTAAAATTAAGGTATTGTTTGAGTCAGCACTGTCGTTTCATGTTAAAGAGTTCTTTGTCGTTTGGAATTTTGTTCTGAAAACCACTATAAAGGGGTGTGATAGCGTACGCCTTTAATTCCAGCACTGGAAAGTCAAAGGCAGGTGCATTTCTGAGTTCAAGGCCAGCAAG